ATATATATATATATATATATATATATATATGTATATATATATATATATATATATATATATATATATATATATATATATATATATATATATATATATATATATATGCATGTATATATAAACACACACGTATGTATACACTTTATCCTCTCCGCCAGCAATCTCTGTCCCAAGCATTAAAAAATAAACTTGCCATTACTATGCGCGAGTGTGCTTGGCAGACGGCGGCGTATATCGGAATGTACGAATATGTAAACAATGACTTCCCCAAAGGTGCAGCGTTTGGTAGTCTCACACAGATGATTCTCTTATCACTCCTTGACGCGTTTAGCATTGTTGCATAGTTGCCTTGTTGCAAAGTTTGGTCTGGCCAACGATGTTTTTTTCTTTTCTTTTTTTTTTTTCTTTTTTCTTTGTACTGAAGTGTTGTTCCTGATGTTGTATCGTTGTGGTAGATGCTAGATCTGTTTTTTTTTTTGCACTGTAGGATATGCTGCAGAGCCGTTGCAGGTTTTGTTGCTAGGATGCATTGCAAGGGTGATTCTCCTTGTGGCTGCCGGTTGCTAGGAGGAGGATAAGGATGTTTAAGGATTACAGGAGCTTGAAAGAGGAAAAAGGATGTAGGGGAAAATACTCAGATAATAGGAAAAAAAAGAAAAAAAAGATGGGGGGGGGGGGAGGAAGAGTGATTGAGGAAAAAAATAGAAAAAAAGGGAGGTAGGGGAGGTAGGGGGGGGGATAGGGGCGTCAACCTCCTTCAGAGATAAGCAGGATATCCACACATCCTGCAGGACCCTCACCAAGTAGGGGGGGGGGAGGAGGAGGAAGGGAAAGGGGGGGAAGGTATAGTAGATCCTGGAGAACAACAGGATTCATTAAAAAAAAGAGAAAATTAAGAAAAATAAAATATATGAAAGGACATGAGGAGACAAAATAAAACCAGAAATAGAAAAAAAAGAGAAAGAGAATATTACAGGAAAAATGAAGGAGAAAGAGGAGAACAAAAGAAATCAACGGGGAAAGCGAGAGGAGGAGGAGGAGCAGGAGGAGGAAGAGGAGGAGGAGGAGGAGGAGGAGGAGGAGGAGGAGGAGGAGGAGGAGGAGGAGGAGGAGGAGGAGGAGGAGAAGAGGAGAAGGAGGAGGAGAAGGAGGAGGAGAAGGAGGAGGAGAAGGAGGAGGAGAAGGAGGAGGAGAAGGAGGAGGAGGAGGAGAGAGGAGGAGGAGGAGAGGAGGAAGGAGGAGAGAAGAGGAGAAGAAGGAGAAGGAGGAGGAGGAGGAGGAGAAGGAGGAGGAGGAGGAGGAGGAGAAGGAGGAGGAGGAGGAGGAGAAGGAGGAGAAGAAGGAGAAGGAGGAGGAGGAGGAGGAGGAGGGAGAGATAAGAAGGGAGAAGAAAGGGAGTGAATAACCCAGGAGGGCGCAGCAGGGAGCTCGCCCATGACCACGCTGGGTTGGTAACAAGCTGGTTGTGAGGGGTGGGGGTGGGGGCACAGGGGAAAGGGGGGTGAAGGGGGGAGGAAAAGGGGGTGGGGGAGGCGAGAGAGGAAGATAGGGAAAGAGAAAGAAAGAGAGATAGGTAGATAGATAGATATATAGATAGAAAGAGAGAGAGAGAGAGAATAAGAGAAAGGGGAGAGGGAGAAAGTGAGAACAAAGAGAAATAGTGATAGAGAAAGAAAGAAAGAAAGAAAGAAAAAAACAAAACAAAGGACAGCACAATAAAAGGGGGGAAGAACAAAGCAACAGGATATAAGAAAATATGAAAAAGAAACAAAACGAAAGAGGAAAGCAAAACAAAAAAATTAAAAAAATCGCCACTAACACACACACACACCCTACCCTCCCCCCCAAAAAAACCCCCCCGAAAAACGAAAGCAAAACAAAACAAAAAAACAGAAAAACAGAGAGAAAAAGAGACAAGAAACGTGTATGAGGTTCGTGACCCGCAGTGTAAAGGGAAACCGCAAAAACACCACCACAGGGGAAGAAAGCGAAGAATAAAGAAGAATTGGAAGAAGGGAAGAGAAGAGAAGAGAAGGGGAGGGGAGGGGAGGGGACGGGAGGGAAAGGGAGGAGACGGGAGGGGACGGGAAGGAAGGGAGGGGAGGGGAGGAGAGCGGAGCGGGGAGGAGAATAGAAGAGAATAGAAGAGAAGAGAAGATAGAAGAAGTGAAACGAAGCGAAGTCAAGAGAAGAGAAATGAAAAAATATATTTGCAATTCCCTTTCTCTGCCTAGAAAGAGAGGAGAAAAGAGAAGAAAACGAAAAGAGGAAGAACAAAAAAAGAATTTGATAGATAGGCTGAGAGAGAGAAAGAGAGAGAGAGAGAGAGAGAGAGAGAGAGAGAGAGAGAGAGAGAGAGAGAAAGAGAGAGAGAGAGAGAGAGAGAGAGAGAGAGAGAGAGAGAGAGAGAAAGAGAGAGAGAAAGAGAGAGAGAAAGAGAGAAAAAAAGAGAGAGAGAGAGAGAGAGAGAGAGAGAGAGAGAGAGAGAGAGAGAGAGAGAGAGAAAGAGAGAGAGAGAGAGAGAGAGAGAGAGAGAGAGAGAGAGAGAGAGAGAGAGAAAGAGAGAGAGAAAGAGAGAGAAAGAGAGAGAGACAGAGAGAGAGAGAGAGAGAGAGAGAGAGAGAGAGAGAGAGAGAGAGAGAGAGAGAGAGAGAGAGAGAGAGAAGAGACAGAGAGACAGAGAGAGAGAGAGAGAGAGAGAGAGAGAGAGAGAGAAAACATATTATATAACCCATAACATCAACATATTCAAATTGCACGAACAATGTAATGAGCCAACACAACAATTTCCTATTTTTCTCCAACTCATTACCCCTAATGAGTAGTTTAATGACCTTGTTATTCTAATTAAGCGCCGTTCTAGTCTTTCAGTGCTTTTCATCACGTAATCTCAGGAAACGTGACACTTGACACCATGTGGGGGGGAGGTGTCAAGGGGGGTCTATGGGTGTCATATGAGATGGAAAACAGATGAGAGAAAAAAAACGTGTTTTTCTTTTTCTTTTCTCGTTTTTTTCATATTTTGTGTTTATTTATTTATTTACTTACTTTTCCTAAATTTTCTTTGCTTACTACTGTTTTTTCTTTATTTCTTTTGTGTGTCCCTTTCCTCCTCCATCTCTATGTCTCTTCTCTTCCTTTCTCTCCAATTATCTCCCTCCCGCTTGCTTCTCCCTTTCTCCTCTCTTTCTCCTACTTCACCTTCGCTCCTGTCCCAAATTGACCTTCAAGTGACCTGTTGTGTGAACCGCGAGACCTGTGGTGAAAATAACCCGTTTGTCCACCCCCCCTCCACCCCCCCTACTGACTCCCTACCTTCTTCCTACACTCCCTCTCTCTCTCTCTCTCTCTCTCTCTCTCTCTCTCTCTCTCTCCCTCCCTCCCTCTCTGTCTATCATTCTCAATTTTTCTCTTTTTCTCTATCACTGTCTTTCCTTTCCTCACCCCTCCCCTCTCTCTGTCTGTCTGTCTCTCTCTCTGTCTCTCTTTCTCTTTCTCTCTCTCTCTACCTCCGTGCTTTCTTATCTGTTTTACTTTTATTCATGTATACCTTTATTCCTTCCCTTTCGCCTTTTTTCCCCTTTCCCGGTCGTTATCTTTCAATCTCACTCTTTTCTCCCTTCCATCCTCTCCCCTCTTATTCCCCTCTCCGTTAATGTCTCTATCTGCAAATGCAATTAAGTGAATAACCATTTACGCAGTTAATTGAATAGTTCCATGGGTGATTAGTATAACAATCTTGTCACGGACCAACTAGCAATATCCTGATAACAGATAATTGATGTTATTAATGAACGGGAATGTTGTTTGATTGTTTGTACTAATCTTCTTTTTATTTGTTTGTTTATTTATTTATCTATTCATTTTCGGGGGCTATTATCTTTTCTTTTCTTTTTTTGTTAAGGAAAACTTTAGTTAGTTAGACTATTGTTTGTTTCTGTTTTCTTCTCTTCATTTTCGTTACTTTTCCTTTCTTGTTTCTTTTATTGTATTTTTGCTTGTGCCTTTCTTTCCTCTTTCTCTGCCTCTCCTCTCCCTTCTCTCTCTCTTCACCTTCCTCCTCTTATCCTTTCCTCTCCTCTCTTTCTTTGCCGACTGATCCTTCCTCTTTTCCTTCTCCCATCCAACTCCCTTCTTTCTTTCTCTCTCTCGACCCCTCCCTGTCCTCCAACTCCTCTCTACCTCTCTCTTCTCTTCTCTCTCTCTCTCTACCTCCATCCTTTTCGTCCCATTCCACCTTCCTCCACCCTCCTATCTCTCTCCCTTCCTTCACCCCCGCCTCTCTCTCCCTCCACCTCCCCCCCTTTTTTTCATTACAATGGCAAACGGCTCCCCATGGCCCATTCGCTCCATCACTGACAATATGCTATTACCATGATAGGTCTACCTTTAATATAATGAGTTAATGCTTATAAACAGCAAGCTCCCCCACCTTTATGAAGCGCCGGTGATTTATAGGCCTACGTGGGTGCATGATTAATAAGAAAACAAGGAGGCTGAGGGAGTTAGAAGAGGATTTGTATGGAGGATTTCAGATGGTATTGGATCCCCACTTGTGCGCGTCTCGTGGCTATATATAGGAGGTTTTAATGCTCTATAGATGGTCTATAGATGGCGTGGTTTGTGTTTTCGATTGACTGTTAGTTGGTCTGAGTTTTTTTTTTTTTATATTATTGGTGACTGTTCTTATATATCCTCTTTATATTTATGAGACTTGTTGAATATGTATGATAAGTGATGTATGTGTTTTTAAAAGATTTATGCCGTGTACAGCCGTCCATACATACATACATATATACTGTATTATGTATTTTTATGACTTTTACATCATCATGATTATGGTGATTATTATTATTATTATTATTATTATTTTACTATCGCTACCATTCATTATATTATCTATATTACTGTTAATATCTCTTATCATAATTTTTATCATTATCTTTATCCCAACTTACCGCAATACGCAAAGCTCACCCCCTCTCTTTCTCTCTCTCCCGCAGTCCCAGCCTACGACGTGGTGCGGCTGCGATCCCGGCTGCGGCGATCTGCGGACGGCGACGAAGTGCGGACGGTCCACCTGCGGGCGCTGGGTTCGTCGCAGATTCTGAACCTGCGGCCGAACCTCGACCTGGCCCGCCGCGTCCCCCTCTTCTTCGCCGACCGGGACCACCTCGGGGGCGTCGCCGTCACTCCCACGGCGCATGTGAGTCTCGGCGGCGCTGCGTTGACGGGGCTTGGGGTCGGTTGGCGCTGCTGGCGTCGGGGGGGGGGGGATCTAGACGCCCGTGAGGTTTTGGTTGCATAAGCGTTTTGATGTCGGTTGCGTTGGTAGCGTGGTGGGTGGGTGTGGCTTGATGTAGGTTGCGTCGGTCACGTTTTGGATGTGAATGTTGACGTCGTTTAAACTAGTGATGTGATGGGTTGATGTGTTAATGAGTGTGAGTCTGTAGTTTACTTTGTAATTGCTTGTTACACATTCTTGTTGTATTGGGTACTTAATTATTACTGTACGTCTGCTGTATGTTCCATGTGTCATGTGTTGTTGATTGTGGTAGGAATGATACAATTTTGTGTTTGAAATTTAGTCATGTGTGCTGTTTGTGTAGTATTTTAATTTCGAAAACTATTAACTTTGTGGTTATTTTTGTAATTAGTATGTTAGGTTTGTTAATTTAGCATGTTTGGCGTGTTACAAGTTAACTTTAGAGAGTCTATTTGGGTGTTTGTATTAGCTATGTTGATATGTTAGCTATAATCTACTACCTATGTTATATGCCTGGTTGTTTCCTTTACTATGATGTTAATATTACAGCCTACTGCTTCACCCCCGAAAACTGTCTTTCTGAGCTTTGAAAAAGAAATTAAATTCATATCAAGCACGCTCTCTTTCTTGCCTACGTGACAAGAGGCACACTGTAGGCCTATGTATGAGTTTGCGTGGGCTGCTAAATAGGTCTGCGCCCTCAGTGGTGTATATAGGCTTATGCCCCGGGTATCACGCCTTCTGTAAATCACTGAATAGGCCTATGGACCCCTCGTAATTCTCATGTTAGAAAGTAAATTCGATCTTGCTGTAACTCAATTTGATTATAATATTTCTCACTCGTTATTCCATTTATTCCTTCATCTTATTCTGCATCTTTAAATCCATCCGCGCGTGACTGTTTTGTGACAAACAATCTTTTTTGCAGGATTTGGACGTGGGAATCCCGCACCAGGATGAGCAGTCACTGGCGGCTGTCATGGTTGCTCACCACCCACTCACGGGCGCGCTGACGATGGTACGTGTGTAGATGAATATAGACATACACGGAAGGGTACATTGCGTGCACACGTGGGTATACATGCAAATATACAGACAGGAATATGCACGTGTATATGTACATATATGTATATATACTAACATGCATACACACACACACACACACACACACACACACACACACACACACACACACACACACACACACACACACACATACACACACGCACACGCACACGCACGCACGCACGCACCCACGCACCCACACACAGAATTAAGATTATTTTCTGTATGTAAATTATTTCTACGTTTCAGCATCACATTTGTTACTATTATTATTATCATTATTATTATTATTATTATTATTATCATTATCATTATTATTGTTGCTGTTGTTGTTATATCAACACTATCACCACCATCATCATCATCATCATCATCATCATCATCATCATCATCATCATCATCATCATCATCATCATCATCATCAGCATCAGCATCAGCATCAGCATCATCATCATCATCTTCATCATCATCATCTTCTTTATTGTTAATTAGGTTATCATTATCATTATCATGATCATAATGATACTAATTATAGTTATCATCATTTTTGTCATGTTACTATTTTATCAACCTTGTCGATATCATTATTGCTGTTATCATCGTTGCTATTTTGTTGCTGTCCTTGCTTTAGGAGAAAAATAAATTGCAAGTCTTAATAAACGAGAAATCAAAAATATAAAATAAATGAAGCAGAATAACAACACTGAAAGAAAAAAATCCATGAAAAAAGTATTCTTCATGTTGCTTCGTCTCCTTCCATTCTATTTCCTCCCTCCTTCGTTCTTTCTTTCTTTTTATTTCTCTATTTTTTTCTCACATTCTCCCCCCCTTACAAAAGGCCCATTTTTTATTTGTTTCTTTTGTATAAGTGTAGTATCATTGTGATGGTCGTGAAAGTGTGTGCACTATTTATACAACACACACACACACACAGAGAAGGAGAGAGAGAGAGAGAAGAAGAAGAAGAGAGAGAGAGCGAGAGAGAGAGAGAGAGAGAGAGAGAGAGAGAGAGAGAGAGAGAGAGAGAGAGAGAGAGAGAGAGAGAGGAAGAGAGAGAGGGGGGAAGAGAGAGAGGGGGGAAGAGAGAGAGAGAGAGGGGGGAAGAGAGAGAGAGAAAGGGGAAGAGAGAGCGAGGGGAAGAGAGAGAGAGAGGGGGAAGAGAGAGAGAAAGAAGAAAAGAGAGAGAGAGAGAGAGAGAGAGAGAGAGAGAGAGAGAGAGAGAGAGAGAGAGAGAGAGAGAGAGAGAGAGAGAGAGAGAGAGAGAGAGAGAGAGAGAGAGAGAGAGAGAGAGAGAGAGAGAGAGAGAGAGAGAGAGAGAGAGAGAGAGAGAGAGAGAGAGAGAGAGAGAGAGAGAGGAGAGAGAGAGAGAGAGAGAGAGAGAGAGAGAGAGAGAGAGAGAGAGAGAGAGAGAGAGAGAGAGAGAGAGAGAGAGAGAGAGAGAGAGAGAGAGAGAGAGAACGAGAGAGAGAGAGAGAGAGAGAGAGAGAGAGAGAGAGAGAGAGAGAGAGAGAGAGAGAGACGAGAGAGAGAGAGAGAGAGAGAGAGAGAGAGAGAGAGAGGAGAGAGAGAGAGAGAGAGAACGAGAGAGAGAGAGAGACGAGAGAGAGAGAGAGAGAGAGAGAGAGAGAGAGAGAGAGAGAGAGAGACGAGAGAGAGAGAGAGAGAGAGAGAGAGAGAGAGAGAGAGAGAGAGAGAGAGAGAGAGAGAGAGAGAGAGAGAACGAGAGAGAGAGAGAGAGAGAGAGAGAGAGAGAGAGAGAGAGAGAGAGAGAGAGAGAGAGAGAGAAGAGAGAGAGAGAGAGAGAGAGAGAGAGAGAGAGAGAGAGAGAGAGAGAGAGAGAGAGAGAGAGAGAGAGAGAGAGAGAGAGAGAGAGAGAGAGAGAGAGAGAGAGAGAGAGAGATGCCTCACTCCGTCACCACAATCCCTCCCTATCCTACCCCCATCACCCTTATCCCCCCCTCCCCCTCCCCTCTCCATTTAGGGTCAGTGTAGGGACGTGACGGGAAAAATAAAGGTGTGGGGTTATTTAGCAAAGATACCTGTGTGTACGCGTGTGTTTGTAAGAATGCGCGTGTATTTCGGTGTATTATTTTCATGTACATCATTTTCTCTCTCTCTTGTTTTTTTTTGTGTGTGTCTTCTTTCTCTTTGTTTCTCCTTTAAGCACCATCTCTCTCTCTCTCTCTCTCTCTCTCTCTCTCTCTCTCTCTCTCTCTCTCTCTCTCTCTCTCTCTCTCTCTCTCTCTCTCTTCCTTACCTCCCTCCCTTTCTCCCCCCCCTCCTCCCTTCCTCTCCTCATCTCCACCCACCATTCCCTCCCTTCCTTCCCTCCCTTTCTCCCCCCCCCCCTCCTCCCTTCCTCTCCTCCCTACCCACCCCTTACCTTACCACCCTTTCCCTTCCTCCCTCTCTCCCTCTCACCGCCCTTTCTCTGTCTTTCTCCGACCACAATCACGAACCGCAAAAAGATAGTATGACACCACATTTCTTAGTGGTGTAGTGGTGGTGGTGTGGTGGGGCGAAGGGGGAAGGGGGGAGGGGGGGAGGTAGGGGGTAAAAAAAGGGATTAGGGGGGGTCAAAGGGAAGGGTTGATTGGGGGATTGGGGGAGAGAGGAGGAGGAGGAGGAGGAGGAGGAAGAGAAGAAGGAGAGATGGAAGGAGTTGTAGCATCCATTCAGATTCATCTCCTGTTTTTGATGAATGGATTTCGTGCTGTGGTTATAGTACGCTTGGCTGGTGTTCACTGTTGTTGTTTTTTAGTGACAATTTAATAGTAATAATAATGTTGATATTGATGATGGCAATGATGATGATGATAGTTATGATACGGATGATAAAATTGATGATGATAATGATAATGATGAGAGTAATAAAAGAAAATAATATCAATAATGATACAATAGTAAAGATGACGATGGCGATTATAATAATAATAATATTAATAATGATAATAAAAATGATAATAATAGTAATAATAATAATACATACTGATAATAATAACAATGATATAGATAATAATAATATTAGTAATGGTATTAATAATAAAAATAATTAAGGTGATGGTGGTGAAAATAGTAATAACAGCAATGTTGATAATAACGGTGATAATGGTCAACATCAGCAGTAAACAACAATTGTTAATGATGATGGGGATAATGATAAGTATCAGTATCAGTAATTGTGTCATCAATGAATGAAGAAAACAGAAGGAAAAGGAGATAAGAAAGTTATAACCCCCAGAATTATGGTAATGATAATGGTAATAATAAGGATGATAGTGATAATGATAGCAATGATGATTATAATGATACTAGTAATGATAAAAAGAATAATTAGAAAATAATGATAGTAGTGATTATAATAGTAATAATTATGATAATAATGATAATAGTAATATTAATGATGCTAATAATAACAGTAATATTAATGATGCTAATAATAATATTAATGATTACAATAATAATTATATTAATGATTACAATAATAATTATAATAATAAATACAATAATAAAAATGACGATGGTAATGATAATAATCATAATGATAATAATAATAATAAAAATAATAAAGAGGATAATAATGATAATGATAATAGTAATAAAAAGATACCAAAATCATAATACCAATAACCCCCAAAATAAGAGAAGACAAATGCGATACAAAAGAGTAATCCCAGATGAAAAAATAGAAATAAAAAAAAAACGGAATAACGGGGGGGGGGGGGGCAGAGATCCTCGAAATCAGCGACGGGAGAGGCGACGCCGCGGCCCAGACCCAAACCTGTCTCCGTCGCTCCCGGATCTCTCAGAGGCCACAGCATCCCCCCCCCCCTTCTTCTTCCCTCTCCCCCACCCCCCCCTTTCTACCTTGTTACAACTCCTTACCTCTTTTATCTTTCTACCTTTCAACCTCCTCCCTCCTCTCCTCTCCTCGCCTCTCATCTCCTTTCCTACCCTCTCACGCTCGAGCTCTCTCCTCTCTCCTCCTCTCCTCCTCCTCTCTCCTTGTCTCCCCTTTTCCTTCTCTCTTTGGTTGTTTTGCTTTCTCCTGTTCTTTGTCAACTTATTTTTTGTATATATGTTTTTTTCACTCTTTATATATCTACTTCATTTATCGGTGTGTTTGATTTAAAAGAAGAAAGTGAAGACGAAGAAAAAACAAAACAAAAAAAAACAGAAAATATTTTCTCCATAAGAAAACTAATCGTTTTTAATTCTATTTGTTTAAATATGAATAGCGGAATATTCCTTTCCCACTTCGAAAGAACAAAGAATCAAACTGCATTAATACCGAAGCAATCATTAATCAAAGTTGAAGGAGAATAATCGAGACAAGTTATTACCTTATACCATTTTCAGCATGTCTAACTTTTAATAGGATAACAGTAAAACACTGGAAATATACATATCATATTAAAGCGTGTAAACAGTGG